TTTGTCACGGCAGGGTTCCCTCTCGCTGGGATTTAGCGGGATTTTTCGCCTGCTCCTCGGGAGACGGAGCACCCGGCGCTCCCACCCTGCAGGAGGAAAGTTGGGATCATTTGCTTGCAGTTTTGGGAAAAAGCTGGGCCGGAGCAGGGCTCCTTGGGCTATAACATTCCCAAGCTCTCAACACCCTTCGCCAGCGACGGAGAGGTTGGGATTTAAGCCAGACCCGCCCTCCCGCTACACATTAATTGCAAAAAAAAAAAAAAAAAAAAGATCAGGGTGCTAGCCGGAGGCGGGTGCGCTAGCGAGAGGTTATCCTCCAGGAGCTGAAGTTTTAGGTGGGGGATGGCAGCAAAAAAAAAAAAAAAATAAATCACCATTTGGGGCTGGTTGGAAAGCAGCTCCGGCTCATACCAATTCCTTGACGCGCTCTTTCCTTTTCCCAAAAATAAACAGGAACCGTCTGGAAAGCCCCTGCGCGGGGAGGAGCAGAATTGCCCAGAATAAATAAATACAGGGAGAGAGCCCGGGTTGAGTTCATCCAGCCGGTCGTTCCCCGCTGCCGAGGGAAGGATGAGGATGGAGCTTGAAATGGCTTTGGGGGGAGGGTGAGAGCACATAGGGCTCTTTCCCCAATTAGCGGGATTTTTGGGAAAGCGCCGAAACGGCCTCCTCGTGCAAGAGCCACCGCGTCCCTCCCGCAGCGTAGCTTTCCGCTCTCCCCCAAATACCCCCCGCACGACGAGCCTTTTGACCGGTTTTAGTTACAAACCGATTAAGGGGACGGAAAAAGCAAATATTTTGGGTTTATTTACAGCGTGAAACTGGAAGAAGATTCGCATTTCTGCTTTTAGGGTTGGGGTTTTTAGTGCCCCAGCTGCTTTTGCCACAGTTTCGCCGTTCGTCGGACTCCAAGCCTGGCAAAACGCCGCCATCTCTGGCTGGCACAGTTCGCCGCCGCGGCCTCACCGAGCTGCACGAGCACGGGGAATAAAGACACGGCAGGCGTGGAGCCGGAGCGAGCCGCAAGACTAGCTTCGTGTTCATAAATGTTATTAAGATGATGAATTAAATATGAATTTTGTGTCAGGCGTAACTTCAAAAGCACCAAGAGACCCGATGCGCTTGTGTTGCATAAATGCTCGGCGTGTTCCTTAACACAATAGTTCGACTCCCTTGGACATAGGCTTTGGGAGAGGAAGGGATTGAGCCTTTACGCGCCTCGAAAAGCGGATACGCCCCTCTCCTCTGCCTTTTTTTTGAAATGTGCTTACACGTTTTGAGCCGACCGAGTCAGGGCTCTTGGGTGCTGGGGCATTTTCTGCATCGTCTCCGAGCCCGCTAGCTCTGCCTTATTAATCTTTCATGTCCTGATAGGGATATTTTGTGACTGACAGCTGGCAGGACAGGGCTGGAAGAAGCCAGCCGGTTCTTTTATTCACCATTCACCATCAAAATGAAAAAAAAGCCAGAAAAAATGTCTAAAATGGGGGGGAAAAAAAACCCAAACCAAACTGTACAAGAGCTATGAATTTCTGGCCCTCAGGTTTTTGGCTATATCGCCCCTGAACATAGCTCTGGGCTGCGGCACCGGCTGGAGCTCGGCTTTAACCTCACAGCAATACTCGCCGCCCTCTCAACCGTGAAAGGCTGAGCCGCTTCGTCCCTCCGGGGCTGGAAAAACGCGAGCCGCGACATAACTCACCTCACCCAGCTACCGCAGGGCAGCTGTGGGAACCTCTCCCCGGCGCAGCGTGGATGCCAAAGGCTCCTTCCCTGCTCCGAGAGGCTCACGCAACGCTTCGGGCCGCCGAAACAGTTTTCTCCTGCAAGAAAGTGGAAAGCCTTGTGAGTTTTCATGTAAGAAAATAAACCATCGCCACGGCTAAGACAGGCAAAGCAGTAATTAGTGCTAGTTAAGTACAGACACCCAGCCTGCATAAGCCGCTGCTATCAACAGATTGATTTGCAGCACGGGCAGGAGATGGAGGTATCTTACCTCCGGCGGGGCTGTCTCCCTCCGTTTCCATGAAAAAATACGGAGATAAATGGGATTGGACCCCATCGCTGCTGCTGGAAAACATAAAACGTGTTTTTTCACCCCAAGAGGAAAGGTATTGGAGTCAACTATTGGCTTCAGGCAGCGTTCTGCGCTAGCGTGAGCAACGGGTTTATATTTTAGGGTAGCAGAAACCGTGAGCCTTCGGCTCCCCGCCCCAGGATGGCGACAGCCCAAGGCACCATCCCCAACGATCCACAACCACACGCTGAATTTCCAAAAAAACCCCCCAACATCTGCCGAAAAAGCTGTTTTCAGAGACGCTGTCACCAAAGGGTGGCAAAAGAGAATAAATAAAGACCGAGTCAGGAGTTTCTCAGAAAGTTTTATTAAACTAAGTTGAAAAAGGAACAATAACAAACCATCTCTTGGGGATAACGGTAAAAAACCATCGCGGCTCAGTTCAATTCATTGAATCAAGTGTAGTATAAAGTGCATGGGTTTCAACCCTCCTGTAAAAGAGGAAAGAAGAGGGAGGTTAAAGCACTTTTGCAGTTTCCAGAGTCCCTGGAGAGGAAGGCGCTTGTGCTCAGTCCAAATTTTGCTTTCGAAGATGAAAGACGCAGCGCTGGGTGCAGGCGACGCACTTCGCTTGCTTTGCCGGCTCTTTCTGAGCTCGGAAAAACCTCCAGAACAGTCTCCTGGTCTCCCTTCCCTGGTTTCTTGCCATGAAAATGGGATTTTTCTCTTCGCGGGGATTGCTGCCTCCGGCTGCCGCTAGCTGCTGGGGAGCGGTTTGGCGTACATCGGCTCCATGAGGTGGTAAATCAGGAGCAGGAACAGGCACGCAAGTAAAACCAGGCTCATCACCGCCAGGAGGACAAAGCGGCCGATAAAGAAGGTGTCCACGATCTGCGGAGAGCAGAAAAGAAAATGCACAACACACGTTACTGCCTTGATCTGCTCCAGGAGCCTGGAGGGAGCACGCCACGTCCTGGAAAAAGAGGACTGTCTGAGAAAATCACCCCAGGAGGAAAACCTTTGGTGTTCCCCCAGATTTCTCCCCTCACTTTTCATTCCTGACACGGGTGCTCTCCGTGGGAAGCGGGGTGTGCGATAAATGATTGAAAGAAGAATCCCTTTCCTCTGAAAAAAGCTGCTCGTGGGAAAGCTAATGTGGAGGAAAAGAGCGGCACAGTCCTGAGCACAGGGAAGAAACGCGAGTCAAAACCTGCAGCAGCTCTCCCCGGCCACAAACTTCCCAGCGCTGCAAGGAACCGCGCACAATTCTTCCCTTTTAGAAGGGAAACGGGGGGAAAAGAAAAAAAAAAGATTAAAAAAAGAAGACACAGCGGCAAGGCAAGACACAATGAGAAGCCAGCTGTGAGAAGCCTGGTTATGAAATGATCCTCTCGGCTCCTGAGACTACCCCAGAGCTTCGCTCACCCCCGGCTCCGTTTTCTGAAATGCATTAGCACACGCTCAGCCTTGGTGTTGCTGCAGAAAGAGTCTCTTGCGAGCGACGCGTTGGCTCCTTCTGCATGTTTCACTTTTTAATTAGCCAATTAGCAGAGTTTCGGTGAAGAAAGCCCAGGTCATGTATTATTGATAGTCAGGGCAGGTCCAGTCCAATTGAAGATCCAAAAAAAAAAAAAAAAGCTTTCCATTTCTGTTGGCCTCCCGGGCACAAACACGCGCTCGGCTGCCCTTTATCTCGCTTCCAACCTTTACACGAGCAGGTCCCACGCAAGGCAGAGAAAAGAAAAAAAAAAAAAAAACTTACAAGGATCTTTAGTAGCGATTTACACAGATCAAGATCTAGAAGAGCAATAATTAATGTGCATTAATAATAGAACAGAGGAAACGGCACCTAAAATGCCACAAAACTTTGTGTATTCAAAGCTCAAAGAGCTCTGGGAAAGCTCGAGATGGCAGCTCAGGCAGCGGTCATGCAGGCAGCCCAAAATCAGGGAGATCTCTGACAACACAGACAAGGGGCTTCCTAAAAACACAGACGGCTCCACGCTTGAGCGCGGCAATAACCTACAAGAGAGCCGAAACGCAGTTCCTGGGCTTTAAAATCCAAAACAGAGCTGGGGGAAAGTAAAAGGCTGCAGAATTAGAGGGAAAATTATCAAAACTACCTGCCACGTGGCTATCGGCTTGCTCCAAGGCGAGTTGGAAGATGGAGGCAGGCGGGAGCACGGAGAGCCAGGACCAAAGCGGGAAAAGGGATGGCAGAGGGGGAGCAGAAGCTGCTCGAGCTCAGGGCTGGGAGGGATAAAAGATTCCTGCACAGAGCCCCTTGGGCCTGGGGATGGGAGAATGGGAGCTGAAACCCACCAGTCACGGATAACTGTGTGTAAATAAGGGATTTTGTTAAGGAAATAAATAGATTCCCTGCTCTGCGTGTGACACAGACTGCACCAACGGGAGCCCGTGCCGGAGCAGGAGCCACAGGAGACGGAAAAGGCAGTGCAGGGCCATCCCTGAGGGAAAGGCCCATCCCCGGGGCCTCTGGGCGGCCCTGGGGGCCCATCCCCAGGGCCTCTGGGCGGCCCTTGGGGCCTTCCCTGAGGGAAAGGTCCATCCCCAGGGCCTCAGGGCAGCTGCTGGGGCCATCCATGAGGTAGAGGCCCATCCCTGGGGCCTCAGGGATGGGCCTCAGGGCAGCTGCTGGGGCCATCCATGAGGTACAGGCCCATCCCTGGGGCCTCAGGGCGGCAGTTGGGGCCATCCCTGAGGGAAAGGCCCATCCCCGGGGCCTCAAGGTGGCCCCTGGGTCCGATCCCTGAGGGAAAGGCCCATCGCCGGGGTGTCTGGGCGGCAGCTGGAGCCTTCCCTGAGGGAAAGGCCTATCCCCGGGACCTCAGGGCCGCCCCGGGGCCTTCCCTGCGGTAACGTCCCGCCGCCCCCGGGCCCGCACGGCCACGCAGGCCGTGGCGTGGGCTCACCTCATCGACGGCGGGGGCGGGCCGC